CTGGTAGGGGGGGGGCGGGCGGGGCACTCGTGAGCTAACGCGGAAACGTCAGGCGGTGAGAAGTGCCACGAGCACCGGGAGGGAAAGAGGTCGGCCCAGCGAAGGCACGCGGAGCACAAGGAGCTGCAAGTGTCGAGAAGGACAAGGCTTGCTTGGTGTGTTGTGAACCGCAGGAGGTCACGGTAGTTGCTGCTGGGGGTAGCAGTAGGAAGATGAGGTGGCAGAGACCAGATCGCGGGAGCCTCCTTAGTGACCTGAGCCGAGGGGTGGAATCAGCCTTCGAAGGGCTCAGACTACTATGCGTTTTTAAGGCATTTCTGGCAACTTCGTGGACTCCAGAGTGTGGAAGCAAAAGAGGAAACGGAGAGAGACCAGCTGGGAGCCCAGCTGTGGGAAGTAGGTGAAAGGTACCAGACTGTGCTTGTGGGAGCAGAAGCGAAGAGAAAAGTGCATGGGACAAGAGGTCCTTAAGGTGGAACTGACAGGGCAGCATTTGAGGAAATGAAAGTGGAAGGGGTGCTCAAAGATGACTTCATCTTTGATGTTTGCGTTTGGCTTAAGTAATCAAGTGTACTATGGTGGCACTTTCTAAATTACTGTTCTTTGGAACAGTTTGGAGGCATGAGGAATAATTAGAATAATAATTCTTAGGGAATCCTCTAAGTTTTAGGTATCTAGAGGAGAGCCACCAACAAAACAAATAGCCTGTGGTCACAGGAGGTCAGGGCTAATGAATGCAGAAATTGGGTCTGTGGAGTTCCATGAGATTACTGAGGGTAAGATAAGAAAGAAGTAAGATAGAAAAGGTCTAAACTTCAGGTTCCCAGTTCTTCCAAGTTGAGTTGAAGAGGTGGTGTCAGCCATGAAGACCAAGAAAGAATGCAGAAAGGAGAAAGAAAAACCAGGATGTTGGTGGCACCTGAGAAGTTTCTCCAGAAGAAGGAAGTGGTTATGTAGAAGCAGAACAGATTTGTCTGGGGATTTAGCTCAGTGGTTCTGCTGCCTGCCTTGCAATTGCAAGGTCCCAATTTGATCCCTGGTACCAAAAAAGAAAAAACTAAAACCAGCCTGGGCAACTTAGCAATTCAGTGAGGTCCTAACTCAAAATAAAAAAAATAGGAAAAAGGGGCTGGGGATGTAGGTCAGTGCAAAGACCCTGGGTTCAAGCCCCAGTACTGAAAAGGAAAACAAAGTACTATGGAACAGACTTGGCCCCTGAAGAGGCAGCAGAGAGGAAGCGTAATGCCTTGGGGGCAATAAGAGCAGGCTGAAGTGAGGCAGGTAAGTGGGTATAGCTGTCTGTGCAGGGCCACTGGAGAAGTTTGGCTGTAACGAGAACTAGAGACAAGTGAGCCCCGACCTTGAGCCAGCATCAAGTACTGTACCTGATGCCCTTGACTCCCCTCCCAAAGAGGCAGGTGTTTTAATCCCCTGTCACTGCTTAAGGAATTGAGTCATGTAATTTAGGGTCAGGCAGTAGTAAGTAAAAGCAGCAGGATTTGCTTCCAAGTCTCTAACTTCAAAGCCCACAGTTTTGAGAAGAGGTGGGAAAATTGAGAGCCAGGTCCTATGGTGGTGCACTAACCCTGCTCTTTTGGGGCTGTTGTTCCTAGTGAAACTGTTCCTTGGGAAAGTGAGGTAAAATAGGGAATTCCTTTCCTGGGCAAGTGAGATTAAAAAAAGCATTTGGCCCTTTAAGCCTGGTCTTGTTCACCGTAGAATGAGGGTGAAGACCTTATCAGTTTTATGTATGTATGTATCTCCAGTGCTAGGCAAATAAGGTTACTTAATGAATGCACAGTTAGTAAGTGGCTGTGTGATTTCAAAGGGTACTTTTAGCTGAGGTCTGGTGTTAGGTTAGGTGTTCTGAATACTAATAAGAAAATGAGCCTTGTTAACTTTGAGACAGTGCCCTGTGTCCTAGGGTAGAATTTCCTGTAGTTGGGGAACCTAGATAAGCTCTTTGAAGGAAAGGAAGGATTTGAACGTGGAAGGAGAGCATTGCAGAATTGAAGCAGTAACTGCATCAAAAGTTTAAGATGCAAGAAGTTAATTGACAGTAGAGACAGACTCCTCTGGCTTGGAGGCCACTGGAAGGACCTAAGGAGCAAGTGCCAGGAAGAAAGTCCTTTTAGTGCCAGCAGGGAGCATTTTTGATCCCCAGACATCATTTGATAATCTCTGAGCACAATTTTGGCCATTACAACTTAGAATTGGTTATACAGATGCTCTTGATATTAACGGGTAGAAACTAGGGGTGCTGCTAAAGATCCTACAGTGAATAGGACAAGTTTAATTCCACAAAGATTAATCTGGCCCCAAATGTCTGAAGGGCAAAGGTTGGAAACCCTGGGGTAGCTGGGGTGAAATTCAGTGGTAAAACACAAGCTTAGCATGTATGATGCCCTGTGTTGGACTCCCAACATCAAAACCAAGTCAAGGGCCAGGGATTTAGCTCAGTGGTGACTCCACCTGCATTGCAAGTGCAAGGTCCTGAGTTCAATCCCCAGCACCAAAACAAAACAAAACAAAAGACAGGAGAAACCTTGTGGTAGAGCAAAGGATGTGAGCCTTGAGGTCTTGTTTGAGGCCTGTGTGTCCCACCCTAACCATGCTAGCAGCAGTCTAGCTGGAATCGCTGGAGGAGTGGAGAGAATCCAGCAAGGGATTCCTGCAGACCTTTGGGGAGAGGATAGGGGCTTGGTCAGCAGACATGTGGGTCAGAAGATCTGATCACACTGAAGTGTTTTTCAAAGCTAGAGCTGTGCAGAGGCACAGCTGTGCAGTAGGGGCTGAAGGAAAGGAATCAAGGATGAGAATAGGCAAATGATCATGCCCTGTACTGGAAAGTGAGTAGTGGAACTGATTTGGCTTGGGGTGGAGGTGGGAAACAGGCCTGTTTTGGACACTGGGTGTGAGTGGCCCGACACTAGGCATCCACATGAAGAGGCCAGGTAGGCAGTTGGCTATGCCTCTGGAGCTCATGGGGAATCTGAGCCAGATACATACAGGGGCGATATCAGCTGAAAGAATTTCAAGGAGTGAGACAACACGAAGATAATAACATTCATTTGCACTCAATGCGCTGGATCTAGTACACCCTTCTTATCATGAATAATTTCATAACAACCCCCTTTGTTATCCTAAAGTGAAACCTATGATTAGTAAAAGCTGCCTACACATAATTTTTTTTAGAATCACTGTTGCCGTAAATATAATACAATGGAAAGTAATATACAATAAAAGAAAATGTGTTCCATTCTTAAGTTTCTGGGGACAAGTATTACAGTAAGAATGAGTTAGCCAGTGTGTCCCCTTCCTGTAGAACTTCTAGACATGTGATAGCCACAAATGCAGACTCACCACTATGGTGTGTTGGTGGCTCAGAAACCCATTGCTGTAGTTAGTACAGCTTGTCCAGAACAGAAACTCTTGGTACTATTTTGACAAAAAAGGTAGTCTCCCCTTGGTGTACATGGTAATTATTTTCTTGGAAATTTCAGTACATAGTAGGAAAGCCACTCTGTTCACATATAAAACATATGTAAACAGATGTAACACATACCTGAGTTGGGTTCTAGGTTCGGGTAATCATAAGTGAACCACTCGTGACTAAGTCATGTCAAATGCAGAACAGTTGCTTACTCTGTACCAAAAGTATCCTCCAAATACCCACCACAGGTTTCCAAAGCCCCTCTGAAGATAAATACAACCCTCAGGAGCCCTTTGGGTAAAGCCTGGTGTCAGCTCCCAGTTTGCCTTGGGAGCGGGAAAGTGACCATACAGGTTTCAATTGCAGAGAAGGATATAATCGGTCCCTTCAAAAAGGGGCATGTGAGGGAGGTCGGCGCAGGTGGTTCTAGGAAGGCTTCCACAAGGAATAGCATTTCAGTGGGGGAAAGGTCTCAGGGGCAGTGCAGAAGAGGAGCATGTAAATGAAGAGGCAAGCGTGGTGATGCAGGGCCCAGGTTGCCCTAGGTACCAACAGGTCTGCATTCCCCTCTGAGGCTGGCATGTCCTGGGTGCTCATCATGGTTGTTGGACTGGTAGAAAGGCAAGATCCTAAGCAGGTACCACCTCCATGGGAGGAATTGTTAGAGGGAGGCTAGGGCCAAATAGGTGTGTATTTCTTGGTCTACTTTTAATTACAAAGACCGTATCAATTCCCTAAAAGTCACATGCACTCTCCGAGTCATCAGGCCTAAAGGAAAACTTACAGACTGCCAGTATACAAAAGGCCTGTATGGACAGGCTGTCCCTGTCCTTGTGTTTTTTACAGTTTTTTTTTTTTTTTTTTTTTTTTTTTTTTTTTTTTTTTTTTTTTTGTACCGGGGATCAAACTTGGGACCTTGCGCTTGTGAGGCAGGCGGCAGAACCACTGAGCTACATCCCCAGCATTGTGTTAGTCTTGAGGGGACACAGATATTACTCAGATCACACCCCATACAAGTGAGAAGGAAAAGTAGAGGAGCCTTGAGGCCACGTGTGTTCATGGGGAGTAGAGTGTCTCCAGCAAGTGGCATTTGATCCCGAGATAAGTAGGAGACCTGAGAGAAGGACTGAAGGGTGAGTAGGGCCCTACTTCTCGAGGAGGATCCCCATCGGGAGATAAGGGCAGCTGCAGGACTGCCCCAGGGAGTCCTGGAGCTGAGGCTGGTGAGATGGGCAGGGCCAAATCAGGGCCTCAGGAGTCCCAGGAAGGACATTGACCTTTATCATAAGAGCACTAGAAGCCGCTGAATGGTCCACATGATCCGATTTATGTGTGAAAAGGTCATTTTGGTGGCATCCTGTGGAGAACAACTTGAGGTGACAGGGCTCTGTGAGTGTACTGCTGTGGGCCAGGCCCTCAGGAGCCACACAGCCCTCCGCTCCCAGGCCTCTCCCTGCCTGAGCCACCATAGCCGTCTTCTGGTCTTTCCAGGAGCAGACCCAGGGACCCAGAGCTCTACATCCCGCTCACCATGGAATTGGTCAGCTCAGGCCACCAGCCCCTTAGGTAAGGACCCACCTGGGGCTCTGGATCCTTCTGAATCATGGAGACAAAGAGAACGCTTCCAGCCAGGGTACCTGCTTGTTGAAAGTCGTGGTCCAGTTCATCCTTCTTCCTGTGAACTATCTCCAGGAGGGTGCCTGTCCCTGCTGGGTAGGAGCTGGACACCGCAGCTTCCACGGATGGGGCGCTGGGCCCTTGACCTGGCCTTTGTGTGGAAGGCAGTGTTCACCCTGGGGCTGGTTCTTCTCTACTACTGCTTCTCCATCGGCATCACCTTCTACAACAAATGGCTGACGAAGGTAACTAGAGACTTCGCCAGGGCAGGGCCTGGACTGAAGGTGGCCATGGTTGGTTCAGCCATGTTGGGACATAGCAACTCTTTCCATGGGCAGGGCTGAGCAGGTAGCTGGCAGGTGTGTTGAAGTGCTAGATATACCCCGGGGCTGCAAGTCAGCCCCTGGGCTGCCACTTTTCTATATGACCTCTAAAATGGGGATTGAAATTCTCAGTCTAAGCCGGGCGTGGTGACGCACACCTATAATCCCAGCACTTGGGAGGCTGAGGCAGGAGGATCGCTGTGAGTTTGAGACCAGCCTGGGCTACACAGTGAGTTTCAGAGCAGTCTGAACTACATAGTGAGACCCTGTCTCAAAAAACCAAAAGAAATTAAAAAATAAAAATAAAAATTCTCAGTCTAAGAGATTGTAATGCATCTGAGACCCCTTTGCACTGCCAGCTACAAGCTCTGCCCTCTGACACCAGATGGAGGGAGGAAGCAAGGCAAGGAGGGCCAGGCCATCTGCATCAAGCTGAGCCCTTTCTTTGGGCTTCCACAGAGCTTCCATTTTCCCCTCTTCATGACAATGCTGCACCTGGCTGTGATCTTCCTCTTCTCCGCCATGTCCAGGGCACTGGTTCAGTGCTCCAGCCACAGGGCCCGAGTGGTGCTGAGCTGGACCGACTACCTCAGAAGAGTGGCCCCCACAGGTATGTGTCATAGCAAGAGGAAGGCCGAGGAGAGCCAGGCCAGAAGAAGTGCTCCTGGTCTTGAAGCCTGGCCCTTCCCCTTGTATATTGCCCCTCACCATCCCCTTCTTGGAGTGTGGCCGGGGTTCCCATCCTGGTGGTGCTGTGTGACAGGGCCACAAGGTGCACAACAGAGCAGAGGAAGGAAGGTAACCACAGTTAGCCAGCACTGGTGGGAAGATTTCCCAGATCAGGTGCTGATTCAGTGAGACCTGAAGGGTGGGTAGGACCTTTAGTCCTGGGAAGGAGGACGGGGCAGCAAGTGAAGTCCATGAGTGTCCTCGGAGGCTGAGGACATAAGAGAAATAAGAAACCAGAGACCCAGCAGGGGTCCGGTCCTGGAGGGCCAGGTGTGCTGAGTTTGTGTCGCATCCTGTTAGAGAAGGGTTTTCACTAGAAAAGCGACAGGATCAGGTCATTACCACTGTGACCTTCAAATTGGTTAACAAATGGGAGTCACATAAGCGGCCCAGTCAGAATGGACTCCCACCCAAGTGCTGACCCACCCCCACATTTTGCCACATGTTAGCCATCTGGTTGCTGGGTGTAAAGGAAGGCCTGAGATTCCCAGAGGGATCCATGAAGGAACCCCAGGAATATCCTGGCCACATTGGCTGGGTGTCCCTAGATGCCCCTTGTCTCCACAGCCCTGGCAACAGCACTTGACGTGGGCTTGTCCAACTGGAGCTTCCTCTACATCACTGTCTCGCTGTGAGTACCAGCCATTCCCTGCAACCTCCCTTCAGGCTCAAGCTCTCTCTGTCTGTCCAGCTGGCTGTCTACACACCCGGCCAATGGGCCAGCCACTCCATCACCCTCTGGGACCAGCTCTTGTTCTCTCAGCTCCTCACTGGCACCCAGCCGCTCTCCAGGAAGTCTCCAGCCTCTTCCGTAAGCCGAGCGCAGAGGGGATGCTGTGCCTGCCTGCCAGGCAGCTGGGGGAAGCCAGGGGGCTCAAATAGTATTTGCAGTCTCAGCAGGGGGAGAACAGGCTGTGGAGTAGCAAGGAAAGGAGGGGCTGGTGCATAGTCTGTAACCACCTCAGAGCTCAGGGCGGGCACAGGGCTGCGTGGTAGTTCTTCTCCCTTGTCTTGCATCAGTCTCTGCCTTCCTGTGTCCCCTATTTGCTCATCCTTCTTCCTTACCTGGTCTTGGCCAAGGTCTAGGTAAGGAATGGGACTCAGCAAATTCAATTGCAATTCTTCCTGGTGACAGAGGCTACTTAGAAATTTCTTCTAGTGAAAGATCACCTATCAGTCCAGATGATAGCCAGCTCTTTTTGGTCTTTGTACCCTGGTTGCCCTCCTACACTGAACAGTGCCAGTTGCCCTCTGGGAACTCAAGGGGTCTCCCGCTTCCCCTTCCCTTTCCCAACCCACTGGTCTGTGCTCTGGCCTCTTTTCTGGGTGGTAGCTCTGAGCCCCAGGCTCCAGCAGTGCTTTGTGGGTAATTTCTGCTTTTAGGTACACAATGACCAAATCCTCAGCCGTCCTCTTCATCTTGATCTTCTCTCTGATCTTCAAGCTGGAGGAGCTGGTGAGGCCTCTGCACCTCTTGTCCCTCCTACCCCACAGATGCCAAGAATAAAAGAGAGAATCTGAGCAGTGGCTTGTCACTCTGTGTAACAGAGGAGACAGGCCCAGCCTAGGTGGCAGTAACTTCCTTTTCTAAAAGGGGACCTAGACACAGGGGCAATATGCAGAACATTTAGAAAAGCACAGCAGGACACTGACAGAAAGGGAAAGCACCAGAGTGCTGTAGGGCCAAGTCCTAGAGCACCCCTATTCTGTGAGCCTGTAGCCCTTTGTTGCTAGGCCCAGAGGGAGGGGGAGTCTTGGGGGCCTGGGGCAGACATCAGAAAGTCCTTTAGTATCTTAGAACAGGTAGGAATATTGGGAACATCCAGCTTGAATGTCTGCCCTGTGGACGTAAACAGGCAAGGACCACCTATGACCCTGGGAGGGTAGAGGGGTGGAAGAAGCCTCCAGGGTGATGAACTTTTGCCACTGGAGCCCCCTGAATTAGCTGCACCTGCTTCCCATCCTCCTAGCGTGCAGCACTGGTCCTGGTGGTCCTGCTCATTGCTGTTGGCCTCTTCATGTTCACCTACAAGTCTACCCAGTTCAACGTGGAGGGCTTTGCTTTGGTGCTGGCAGCCTCGTTCATTGGTGGCATTCGCTGGACCCTCACCCAGTTGCTCCTGCAGAAGGCCGATCTGGGTGAGCGTGTGTGAGCAGGGCGGGCGCAGGAAGGCTGGAGGCTGTGCAAGTTTAGGCCAGACCTGATGGCCCCGTGTGTCCCCATCCTGCAGGCCTCCAGAACCCCATCGACACTATGTTCCACCTGCAGCCACTCATGTTTCTAGGGCTCTTCCCTCTCTTTGCCGTATTTGAAGGTATGTTGGATCATTCACCCCTGGGGCACATCAGCACAGAAAACCCAGCACGGTGCTGACCACAGAGGTCCCTGGTCAAAGCTGCCATAGTTTGGGTCTGGACAGACACACAAACAGAATGACTCGAGTCCAGTGTGACGAGTGCTGCAAAGAAAGTGTATATACACTGTACAGGGGACAACACTGACTGTACAGAGCTCTGAAGGTACACATTAACACACTCTCTCATTTAATCCTCCCCCGAACCAAATGTGGAGTGCTGTTACTATCTCCAGTTTGCAGGTGAAGGAAACAGGCACGAGCCAAATGTGGATCCAGCCTCCTGGCTCCCAGGTGGTCAGGTCCCCTCACTGTGCACACTGCACCTAAGATCGTGCATTTTGGAGGATGGGTGGAATGTGGGTGGGCTTGGGAACAAGGTTTCCTGGAAGGTGGGGCAGGAGGTTCAGCTGGGACCAGGCATACAGCAGTGCTTGTGTTTAGGGAGTCTGGGCTGGGTCAGCTAAGTGTGGGCTTGGTGGGTGGGGGCCAGGGACTGGAAATCAGGAGCCAGCAGCCAGCAAGCAAGACCCTTGGGATTCCATGTATTGTTCCCCTCCCCTTTGAGCTTCCAGAGAAGAGGAGAGACAGGTACAATTGAACAGGATGGGCGGTACCTTCCTTCCTCCCGTGTTTTGGGATTAGTCTTTGTCCTCTATCTATTTATTCTTCCTCCCAGAGTCCCCACTATCCTCAGGGTCATTACAGAAAATTCTGTCCCACATCCATTTAAGTCTCAAGCAGTGAAGCGTCTCCAACCTCCCTGAGAAAATTATTCTGCAGCCCCGTTGTCCAGGAAACTTCTGTTCAGAGCCTTGTGTTTTTCCTTTTTAAAAATCTCTCCCCATTCCTTCATTATGCCCTCTTGTACCAAACACCGCACTCGTCCCCTCCCTCCCTGGGCATCTGCACCATCTCTGCAAACCCTCATCCAAAAGCCCCTGGTAGTCACCACTTAGCAAAGCTGCATGGATTTAGCTCCTTTAATCTTTTCTGGTAAATTAATCCCCCAAGCGCCTTCATTACTTATGTTGCTCTTCCCTGAATTCCCTTCAATTTGCCGACGCCTTTGCAGTACTGCTGAGCCCAGCACCAAACAAAATGTCCTACATTGGAGGCTGCTGGCCTGGTAGGGAGGGGGGACCATCACTCTACATTTCTTTGGCACGTCCCTCCAAAATTCCCAAAGTTCACGTGTGCTTCCAGCACCCACAGGTGTCTCTGTTGTACCCATTGTGGGGCTGATTTTACCCCCGGCTGATAAGGCACTGGGAGCTTTGCTGCTGATGGGAAAGACCCAGGAAGTCATGCTCTCAGACAGGCCATGGATCCTGGTGTATTGTGTGCATGTGTGTGGATTCTGGAGCCAAAGGTCAAGACCATGTGTGTGTGTGTGTGTGTTTGAGAAGTGTTGAGTGAATCATGTTGCTTTTTGGAGAAACACCAAGCTAGTCCCAGTTCTGTTGTTTTATCAGGAAGAAAATGGGTCCAGAAAGGGGATAGCTCGGCCCAAGTCCGATAGACCTGGGCTGTGGCTGTATCTCAGTGGCAGAGTGCTTACCTACCATGCATGAGGCCTTGGGTTCCATCCCCAGCACCGAAACAGCAACCATTCTGAAGCAGTGATGCTCTGCTCTGGATTTTCTGTGCAGTGCCACCTCCTCTGCTGCGGCTGTGGGTTCATATCACTGCCCTTAAGGGTGGCTGACTTATTTTGCCCTAGGGCTCCCTGGCAGCCATCCCTGTTCCCCCAGCAGTGTCCCTAGGTCTCAGGCCATCTGTGTGGGATTATTGGGTACCTTCTGTTCTTGTTCTTGGCTGTAGACAGCAGGTGCTCAGAGCTCACTGCAGTGATGACAGAGCTTACCTGGTTGATGGGCAGGGTTGGCTGAGGCGCTGCAGGACCTGGCCTCCCACTCTCTCTCCCCATTGCTTTCAGGTCTCCATTTGTCCACGTCTGAGAAAATCTTCCGTTTCCAGGACACAGGGCTACTCCTGCGGGTGCTTGGGAGCCTCTTCCTTGGCGGGATTCTTGCCTTTGGTTTGGGCTTCTCTGAGTTCCTCCTGGTCTCCAGAACCTCCAGCCTCACACTCTCCATTGCTGGCATTTTCAAGGTACAGACTTAGAGGTGACCCCAGTCCTTTCTTAGGAGCCCAGCGTCTTCTGTCCCACCTCTTGTACCCCCAGGCCCTTTGGAGAAGAGACAGAAATGCCTGGGTGGGTGACAGCACTCTGCTTGTTTGCACCGTCCCCATGCCCTGTGGGTGGTATCATCTTCCCACTGTGGATGGGGAAATGGACCTACCCGGGGGTACAGCTAGGGACTCAAAGCCAGGTCTGACTCCACGAGTCCTGGTTTGACCTTGAATGCCAGCTCTGCTCACATAGCAGTGGCCTGGAGCCATAGGTTGGGAAGTCCCCATCCAGGCTCATCAGTGGAGCTCCATAATTGACTGGCAGTGTCTGCTGTGGACACAGAAAGGGTGGTTACGTGCTGTATGGGTGCCGTGTGTTGCCAGTCGTACCTCTGTTGCCCCTGTCCTTCCCCATTCTTCTCCCCTCTCTTCTCACTTCCCCCACCCCCAATTCGCCAGTCCTTCCTGTTCAGGGCCACAGAGAGGTTTTCTCTGACCAGCACAGGCATCCTAGAGCATGGCCTCAAACCAGAAATGCGGGTCTCCCCACAGTCTTCCGGCTGCCGGCCAGAACCTTAGAATGGATTGTCGGACCCGGGCTCTTTGCAGTCCCTGTGGTGAAGCATCCTCAGGCAGTGTGTCCTCTGAGCCCAGTGTGACACAGTGTCTGCCCATGAAAGTAGAGATGTCCCTCTGCATTGGTGTCTGCAAGGGAAGCTCTCCCTCGCTCCTGCTGGAGATGCAGGGTCTGCACCCCTGTGCTAAGCCTGGGTTTGCTTTGCTTCTTCTGTTACTGGCAGAATTCCATGGAGAGCACCTATTTGATTGTATCTCAGTAACCAAGACTGGCAGTTCAACTCGGTCCCTTGACCTTTTTGCCCTACAGGCCAGCATGTCCTGCCTGCACAGGAGTTGGGGCACTTCTGGACCTAGCCTCTGAATGTCCTCAGGCCCTCTGCTCTCTGCTCCTCTGTGAAGGAGCAGCTGCTGCTGAACAGTCCCTTTCCTGCTTCTCTGCCCCCAGGAGGTCTGCACGTTGTTGCTGGCAGCTCACCTGCTAGGCGATCAGATCAGCCTGGTGAACTGGCTGGGTTTCGCCCTCTGCCTCTTGGGAATATCCCTACATGTGGCCCTCAAAGCCCTGCACTCCAGAGGTAACAGGAGCCCTTCCAGATGTCATTGTGTCTGTGACTAATAGTGCCTCTGATTTCCCCTCTGCCCATCTCCATACCTAGGAGAGCCACCTGCCTCCCCAGTGTGAAAGCCTGGTAGCTTTCTCCACAGGCCGGCCTCGCACTGGCTGCTTTGTTAACTTAGAAGTATGTGTGGTGGGACTGCACCACCCATTCCCGAGAGGATATGGGTCATCTCCATAGGGGAAGAGGCCTGGGTAACTTGGCGTGCGTGCAGGTCAGGGTACATCCAGAGCACTTTCTGGGTCCATGCTGTTATCTCTACCCCAAGGTAACAGTGGCTCTAAACCTCTGAAGAACTTGGGCTCCAGCCCTGACATGGAGCTGCTGCTTCGGACCAGCCAGCAGGAGGACAAGGACAATGAGGAAGAGTAACTTGTGGTCCAGGGGCAGCAGTGACCAGCCTGGAAGGAAGTTGGAAGTAACCCAGCAACCAGCGCCTCTCTGCATGCTAGGCAGCATCTCTGGGCCCAGGGCGTTCACAACAGCTGAGAGCCACTGGCCAGAACCCTGTGATGGAGCTAGGTCTGGTTTGTGGCTCCCACCTCCCTTTCAGAGTGTGGGTAATAAGGTGCGTGCCAGGCCAGCCTAGGATCTGCCTGGAGCTGGACCCATGCTGCACCGCAGTCATGGTGGAAAAGGGACCAGACTGGTTCTTCGTTGTTGGCCATGCTCTGGGAGCCAGGACTAAATGCCTAGCGGCTAAGGGGACTGGATGTGAACTGCGTGGCAGTCGGGAAGGGAACATGGAGAGGCTGGAGCCTCATCACCTGGACAGCACCTTCCTCAGAGCAGATTTATTTATAGTTTGGAAATAAATGCTTTACGGTCCACTGGCCACTCGCATTGCCTGGCATTGTGGGGACAAGAAGAGCCATGGCCTCTCCCCTTCTTCCCTGCCTGGGGCCTCCCTCAGCGGCTGGTCTGAATCCCAGCCTCCTGTATCTTTCATCTTCTGTTTGAGCCCCATTGCCCACTCCCTGGGGTACCACCACACCTACAGGCAGAAAATAAATTGAGTATTGAGTACAGTATTCTGGAGACTTACACATTTTCACAGCCTAGGTTCGAATCCTGGCTGTCACTGGCTACTTGACCTAAATTTCTCTGCTAGTTTTTTCATCTGTGAAATGGGGCTAATACCTATTCAGAAGCTTTCTAAAGATTGTTGCCATTATTGGTAATGGATTAAGTTAATTTAAAAATCAAAGAGAAACAACTGAATAAGTGGCCAGGCAAGGATTCATAGGAGGTCTTCCTCCACATATGTTCATGTGCTGCCTACTGGGAGGGTCCCTGGGCCCCTGGGACCTGCGCCTTCTACTCACCTAACTTGACCAAGTCCGGCCGCTTCCCTAGTATGCAGTAAAGTAAGGAGGGCAGGGGACAAGCCCAGGGCCCTGTGGTGACTCCTGGGACAGCAGTCCCTCCAGAATGCTCTGGCTCTCACAGCAGGTGGCGCCATTGCCCTACACAGGCTCCAGCCCCAGCCCCACTGGCCAGTGTCCAAGCCCAGGCAGAAGAGGGTCCTTGGGAGAGGACAGTATAGGTCTGAGGGTGAGGTCCAGGACAAGGCTTGTGATAAAACATATAATTTGGCTGGACCCCTAGCACTTCCTCAGTTAAACCTTGGAGAATTTGGATACTTCAGGAACCATTCTGCAAACTCTGTAAAGGGACAGATAGTAAATATTTTCAGCATGGGGACCATATGGCATCTGTTACAGTTTCTCAACTCTGCTGTTATAGCATGGGAGAAGCCACAGACAACACGGAAACAAGGGTGTGGCTGTGTCCCAGGGAAACCTGCTTTACAGGGGGAGTAAGCTGGCTTGCTGTCTGTGGTTTTTGCCACCCCTGCTTTAGAAGAATCCTTGAGAAGTGTTGAGTCCCGGGCTTAACTGGCCCCAGGCCCTCACATCTCTGTGTGCAGGCAGAATTACAACTAGGATCAGCTTCCCACTTTGTTTCCCAGTCGCTTTCGGCAAACAGAGGTGGAGCACCAAGGGCGCTCCTGAGCTGGCCTTATCTGGCTCCTGCACCCCTCTTCCCCCTGGACACTGCGAGTGCTGAGGCCAGGATTAAAGAAAGCTCGTGTTCCAGCTGGATGACATGGGAGGGCCAGCAGGGAGATGTGGGGAGAGGACAGCCTCACTGGCTCAGGTGGCTGAGAGCTTCCTGTCAGCCCACAGCCCCTCTCCTGGGCACAGAAGCAAGGGCTGCTGTCTGGTGCAGTAATTACAGGGTGCAATTCAGGAGCCCTCACCACACATATGTTGGGTTCGATGACAGCCCCTCACTTAGCAACAATTACCAGAAGGCCTTGGGGATGTCTCTCCCCTGCCCCCCAGCCTGCCTTGTCACCTGGCCGCCTGGGCCAGGCAATGTCCACCCTCACCCCTCGAACCACCCATGCTGTCCTCAACCACTACATGGGGGGGGGTGTGTGTGCAATATCACCATGGCAACGTGGTGCTTGCAAAGGTTGAAGGAAGCTATTCTCTCCAAGGCTGTGGCGTCTATCCCCTGGTCCAGGCCTCTGCAGGAGGGGGAGTAGAGGGGAGGGCTGACCTGCAGGTTCAAGTTTTAAGTGCTTACATGCCCACCAGCTTTCCCAGGAGCCTACAGTGGAGGGAAGGTTAATGCCCCCAATATAAGAGGACATCTGCAGTCGGTGTTGTGTTGGGGAGGAGTACAAGCTGGAGTTTGCTGTGGGAGAGACCTGAGCCATCAGGCAGGCCCTGCGTCTTCATTCTGTTGCCTGTGTCTGTCTTGGAGGCTCGGAATCTCCACCATCTGAAGATCTGTTCTACTCTCCTGAAGATCTGTTCTACTCTCCTATGCAACCAGGGAAACTCCCAGTGGCCCAGAGTCATTATGTGGCTCCAGAAGAGTCCTTGCCGCAGCTGTCTGCATCACGGACTAGTATTAGACTGAGTTGCACCCGTTTGTAGTCCAGAGAGCCACAGGTGTGGCCTCCAGATCATCCATTTAGGGAGACAGCATTCAGGGAGTGGTGACAGACACCACTGGACTTGAGATGTCTGTCCTTGGAGTCATCCTCCCAGCCCAAGGAAGAGAGAGACAGGGGTGGGCAATGAGGAAGAAAGAATAGAAGGGACACCAGGTGTGGCGGCACCTGTAATCCCAGCACTTGAAAGGCTGAGGCAGGAGGGTCGCAGAGAGTCTAAGGCCAGCCTGAAATAATAGCAAGATCTTGTCCTAAAACACACAAAAAATGGAACCACTTACTGAGCACCATCTGGCTCTTCACAGAGGTTACTCAGACCCTACCAAACCAGTGCAGTAGGGATGGGTATCTGTATCATGGCTGTGGAAATTAAGCCACAGTGGCCAAGAAGATGGCCTTGGAACATTGCTTCTCCCTCCCCTGTGATCTGCTGTGTGACTGGGGCATGTTGTTGATGCCTTTGAGCCTGTTTCCTTTCCTTTAAGAAAGGAATGATAGTAGTATGCATATATTTCCCGTGAAGCAACTGTGAGAGTATTGCAGAATAACAGTGTGTAAAGCATTTGCCCAGTGCCGGGCACATAGTCATTAGTTCTCGATAATATCGGTGATGAGGGTGGCGCATAAGCTGCCCAGGTGACAAAGCATGGGAGAGGAGCAGCCAGCAGCAGAGCCCGGGTCTTCTGAGGTCCTCACCCTTGGTACAGTGCCTGGCACACAGGAGCCATTTAATAGAAATGTATTCTGTGAAGGAATTTCCAATATCAGAAACCAAAGTGGAGGTTTCACAGACTCTAGCTCTAGCTTTAGAAGGAAAGGCCGTTCCCACCACTGACAGCAGCCCAGCCTGGCCCAACTATGCAGCCCCCACAGGAACCAGGCCCTTCCCCTGCTCCGAAGCAACCATTACTGTGACTTCTGTTCCCATGGTTATTTACAGTTTTGTTGGCAACTAATACGTTTCCCTGAAACAGCCCAACAGCTCCCAGTCCTGCTGGCGTCTGCTGGCCGGGCCATCCCTTCCTCCCAATGTTTTATTAGAATTCCTGCTGGGGACAGCACCAAGGACCCGAAGATAATGTGTTAGAATGCATTCAGCAAATGTTTCTGGAGCATTTACAATGTGCCTGGCTGGTGCTAGCTGCTGGAGATAATGGTTGACATTAAAATACTGTCCCTGCCCTCAAGGAACTTCTGCAGGGCTTTTACCCAGCAGAGGGAGGGAAGCACGGAGGCAGACTTGAGGTCAGGTCAGAGCCTAGGCTATTTACTATGTAAAGTGATCTTAGGAAAAACCCCTATAGAAGGGACAGGAGGGGTAAGGAGTTTGGTGGGGGTGGGGGTGGTTTGAGGTCCACTGAAGCCCACAGGCACCACCGCAGGGTGGGGGTGCAAGCAGAGTTGACCCGTCATTGGCAGTGGGCCCGGTTTCCTTCAAGACCTCTGTCGTAGGTTGACAGGTGAGGAATGTCTTCTAGTCTTGTCCCCCTGGCCCTGCTTCTGGGGAGTAAGTCCTTCATTCCCGATGGTGCATCTGAACCCACGGCCACAGTTATCCAAGGACAACCAGAGACCCCTCAAGAGGAAAGCAACATCTGGACTATATGTGCTTATGTGCGTTCTCCTTAACTCCCAAAAGATTAAGACCTGGTGGTCTAGAGAAGACCAGACTTGTCCAGAACTCCAGCGAGATCAGAGATACACATTGCAGGTGCTCAGTTGAAAGGATGGACGGTGGATGGATGCACGCATGGTTGGATAGTGGCCAGGTGGGTGGATGAGTAGATGCCATAATAGAGGAATGTCTGGGAGCTATGGAAAAGGGAATAAGAGATTCTGTCTGGATCAGGAGGAAAGCAAAGACTTCTAGGAACTGAGTCAGGACTAAGTAGGAGTTTTGCTAAAAAGACAAAGGCAGATATGTACACCACGCAGAGGAAAGAACAAAGAGGCATGGGTGAGTGGGAGGAGGGTGTGTTTGGGCAGTAAGAGAATGATTTCACTTTGGCTGGCCAGAGGTGCATGTAGGGAAAGAGCAAGAAGGGGTCTGCCGACCTGCCTTTGAAAAGCCTACAGGCGCCATGAGGAAACCTGGGGGAGACTGTTCCACCAGCCTCTCTAGAACGAGCAGGTGTCTTCCCTCCCCCCACTGACTCAACAGCGGTGAGTGTCTCTATCTGACAGGGGGAGGAAGTTCCTTCCACAAGCCTGGAGCCCTTTACAGGTCCTTTCCCATCCCCGACTTCCTTTAGCCCTGCCTACAGTCCCACTAACCAAATAAGAAATGGGCTCAGAGAGGCTGCGCACCTGCCTGAGGTCTCTCACAGCATTACCACCAAGCAGGAAGCCCTCTCTCCCCGGGCTCACCTCTCCCAGTGCCCCACCCTCTCCACCTCTCACTCTGCAGCCAGCAGGCAAAGGCGGCGGTAGGCAGTGTAGATAACCTCCTGGGAGTGGGCCCTCTGGTTAGGGGCAGAAATAATGGCCCACTGCAGGGGGGCTGTAGGCCTAGCTTGGACATCCTGCTGTTAATATTTTGCCCTGGGAGGAATCCCCCACTGAGCCCTGCCTCCCATCCTGTTCCTGGGCTGCCCCATGAATTAAACATGCCCCCGTGGTTAACTCAGTAATGCTTTTATTAATAGTTAATTACTCAACACGCACTGGGGAAATGAGACTCACTCAGGCCTCGTAAATTAAGGCAGTGATCTCGTGAAGGAAGCCAATGGGAGTTCATTACCCTGGCCCCTTTCCTTGCTGTACCTCTGGGCTTGCCATTTAGCGATGCTAAACAGTCAGCCTGGGTGGGGGACTGGGGGACAGGGCCTCCCATGGGACTGGGTGAGGCTAACTGAAGGATAAGCATCCTCGGGTTCCTCCCCCCCAGAGAAAGGACATGGGGAGAGGGGCAGGAGTGTCAACTAGCAACTGTTATCCTGTACCTTGGTGGCTTGTCATCTGCCTGTGTTCCCCGGCACTGCTGGGGACTCACGTGCAGCCTCTAGGGATTCCTGGACAGGACAAGGCCACCCGTCTAGGGAGAGGGACTCCCCAC